AGATCATGACCTGAGCTGAAATCAAGAGTTGGACACTTAAACAATTGAGCCACCCAGGCACCCTTATTTCAGTTTTTAAAAATTTATTTCCTGGGGCTCCTGGCTGGCTCAGTCAATAGAGCATGCGACTCTTGATCTCAGGGTCGTGAGTCCAAGCCCCGTATCGGATATAAAGCATTCTTTAAAAAATAAAAATAAAAATAAATAAATAAAATAAAAATTTATTTCCTGGGGCACCTGGGTGGCTCAGTCAGTTAAGCATCTGACTCTTGATTTTGGCTTGGGTCATGATCTCACAGTTTATGAGTTTGAGCCCCATGTTGGGCTCTGTGCTGACAGCAGAGTCTGCTTGGGATTCTCTGTCTCCCTCTCTCTCTGCCCCTCCCTGGCTTGTTCTTTCCCCTCCCTCCCTCCCTCTCTCTCTCCCTCCCCAAAATAAATAAACATTAAAAAAAAATTATTTTCCAAATTTCTTGTTTGAAATTTTCAAATTTACAGGAGAGTCAAAAGAATAGCTCCATGAACACTCATGTACCCTTCCCCAGTTATTAACATTTTGCCACATTTCTTGCTTTTGTATATGTACACACACGTAAATACATATGAGCTGCTTTTTTTTGTTCAGCGCTATTTATGAATATATTTAAGACGTCTTGACTCTTAGCCACTAAATACTTTATAAGATGTATTTTCTAAGAACAAGGATATTTTCCTGCATTAGCACAGTACCACTATTACCATTGGTTCAGTATTGTTATTTAACATCCAGGCCATATTCTGATTTTCCCAGTAAAATTTTCTATAGCTTTTTTGTTTTATTTTTCAATCCTGAATCACATGTTGCTTTTGGTTGCCCTGGTGTCATTTTAGTCATCTCTAACCTAGAATTCTCCCCTTATACCTTATTGTCATGACACTGATGTTTTTGAAGAGTCCAGGCCAGAGTAAAGTTACTCAAACTGAGAGGCTGCCAGTGGACAGCCCACAGGCCAGTTACAGCTAGGTGTGTTTGGTCCATATTATACATGAAAATTTGAATTGTTACCTGTATTTAAACATGAGACTTCTGGCAACACTGGGCTCACATTCCACATGAATGTGGAATGTACAGGAATAGCACTTCCTTTTTAGTATTTGTCAGCTTTTACAGTATTCAACACACATGGGACTGTGGAACTAAAGACATGCTTTTAGTGATACTCAGTTATTTTAGGCAGCACAGTCACACTGACAGAACACTAAATGACACGGAATTCTGCAGCCGTACAATTTTTCCTTGTCAGGTCTTCAGTCTACATTCCTCCAAAGATAAAGTCTTTCTTTGAGCTGAAACTGATATTCTTTAGTGCCCACTGACAGTCACTGATCTCCCTCCCTGACAAAGGGATGCTGCCCCTAGACTGAGACCACTGTTTTGTTAGAATTTAATAGCCGTGTTTTGTTGTCATTATACTTATCAGTATAGTTACCTTCTGGTTATAGTTATTGGTGAGTAAGCAATTGTACGTGTTGTATATAAATGATTGAAGCAATAATAGCTGTCCAAGAACAGATGTCAATTTTGGAGTACCTGTTGTGCGATAAATAGTTCCTTTAGGTTTTTCTTTTTTAGTCATAAAAATCAATGAGCTAGAAACTATTAAACCCTTTTTAAAATATGGATTAACTGAGGCTTGGAGAGGTTAAGTGATGTGTGTGGCTAGTCAGAGCACTTGTGCTGCTCTGTGAGGTAATTTCTTTTTTTTTTTTCAACGTTTTTTTTTTTTATTTATTTATTTTTGGGACAGAGAGAGACAGAGCATGAACGGGGGAGGGACAGAGAGAGAGGGAGACACAGAATCGGAAATAGGCTCCAGGCTCCGAGCCATCAGCCCAGAGCCTGACGCGGGGCTCGAACTCACGGACCGTGAGATCGTGACCTGGCTGAAGCTGGACGCTTAACCGACTGCGCCACCCAGGCGCCCCACTGTGAGGTAATTTCTAAGTCCATCTCAGCCCTTTAGATTTGATGATCCTGTTAAGATCAACACCTACAGGAAGATGGCATCACATGGCTTTACAGATGACATAGTAGAGCTATCAAGGCACCTGACAGTCATGTGGGCATGGCTGGGAGAATGGACACCAATGATTTATATACCTATTTTTGCATAAATTATGAAATGTTTTTTCAAAGCAGTACTGCTTCAGAAAACTTGGCAACTGTGCTGTGTTCATGGAGATACAAAGCTGAATGGTCACAGGAAAAACATTTGTTTCAGACAGCTTTTAGGTTTTTGCTTGAATATGGGAGCAGTCTGATATGTGTACTTCCACTGTGTAGTCACAAACTGAGATGAGCATAGTCATTTTTTTCCCCTAGCAAATGTAAAAGCCATATTTTCTCTTTGTGTGTATCCCCTGCAGGAACAACTTTCTCAAGTCCTTGATGCCATGTTTGAAAGGACAGTCAAAGTTGATGAGCATGTCATTGACCAAGGAGATGATGGAGACAACTTTTATGTCATAGAACGGTAGGAGATGGAGCTTTGCAGTCGTGTGGCTACAGTTATTAAGATTCATGATTCAGGGCAAGTGCTTTACCCTATGCTTTTTTGTTCATCCCAGAGAGGAGTTAGGACCAGGTGTACAAGCTTCTCAAAGTTTGTGCCTCTTGTCCATAGCCTGCCCCCTCTATCTACTGCTGTCCTTAGTCCTCAGTACAACCCATATTTGGGTTGCCATTATCAACATTAAAAAGTCTCTTTTACAATTAAGCAAGATGTTCTCTGTAAACATGTTACTTGCCAGTGTTCAAGTGAATTGATTTCATAAAGAAGCCATTTTGCGGGGTGCCTGGGTGGCTCGGTCGGTTGAGCGGCTGACTTCGGCTCAGGTCATGATCTCGCGGTCCGTGAGTTCGAGCTCCACGTCGGGCTCTGTGCTGACAGCTCAGAGCCTGGAGCCTGTTTCAGAGTCTGTGTCTCCCTCTCTCTGACCCTCCCCCGTTCATGCTCTATCTCTCTCTGTCTCAAAAATAAATGTTAAAAAAAAATTTTTTTTTTAAAGTTAACACATATTTAAAAAAAAAAAAAAGCCATTTTGCTATATTGTCACTTGGATCTTTCAGTCCCAGCCTAATTTTACACATGACTACACTGCCTCACCCTTCATGTCCCTGGCCCCTTCTGGCTCTGTTCCATGTATAAGACATATTGGGAGACATGAAATATATGGATTTGATCTGCTGGCCTTAGTGTGTCATAAGCTCTTGAGCTGTTAATACCATCTCAGCAGCTCCTTCTGACCCCCTCTCAGACCTGACAGGAACCACCCTCTTCAGATTATCTCCTATAGAATGCCTAGAAATGGTTATCACCAGGTAAAAAGGTCTCTTTAAGGAATTTGCTATATGTTGTTAGTTCTCTTGCAGAAACATTGATACATTTAAGTTTGCCTCAGTGATGTATTGAGAGCACCTGTTTGTCTAAATGTTTGTCAGTTCTGAGTATTATTCTCTAGCAGTCATTAGTAGTCAATAGATAGAAAATTGTACCTTTTGGTTTCTTTATTTTAATCAATTCTATATCTTGGTTTTCAACAAACTACAAAACGAATCCCATATAATCATTTTAATCCCTTCAGCAAAAGCATTTGACAAAATGCAACACGTTTTCATGATAAAAACTCTCAGCAAACTAGGAATAGATGTGGTTTTTCATCAGTCAGATTAAAGGAATTTATTTTAAAGCCTATAGCCAACATCATTGTTAATGGTGAAAGATCGACTGTGTTCCCCTTAAGATCAAGAACAAGACAGGGATATCTGCTCTTATTTCTATTCAGTATTGTACTGTAGGTTCTAGCCAATGCAATAAGACAATGAAAAAGAAGAAAAAGTGGGAGGAAAGGAGGGCATATAGATTGGAAAAGGAAAAGTAAAGCTGTCTTTGTTTGCTGATATCATGATCCTCCCTAGAAAATCCCAAGCTACAAAAAGGCTACTAGAACGCTACAAAAAAGCTACTAGAACTGATAAGTGAGTTTATCAAGGTCACAGAGTACAAAGTCAAAATGCAAAACTCTTTTGTATTTCTGTATACTAGTAAAAATCTGTTGGAAATCTCCTGTCTTAATCGTTTGTACCTTCTATTCATGTGCCACCTGCCAGGTTCTTAAGTTTATTATTAGAAGTAATAAATGAAATTATTTCTTGTTATGCTTCCAGGGGAACCTATGATATTTTAGTAACAAAAGATAATCAAACTCGCTCAGTTGGTCAGTATGACAACCGTGGCAGTTTTGGAGAACTTGCTCTGATGTACAACACCCCGAGAGCTGCTACCATCGTTGCCACTTCAGAAGGCTCCCTTTGGGGACTGGTGAGTTAGAGAAGTGATTCCTCTTGTATGGCACAGTATTGATTCCCCTTACTTCTGGTTTTCTGTCCTTGGGCTGTTGGTTCACACTATATTTTATAGCCAGTTCTCTAAAAGATATTATGAAAGGTCTTGCACCAGTGTGTTTTTCCATTTCTCCAAAGTGATTTGTCAACAAACCATTTACTCCAGATTACAGGGAAAAGACAGTCTTATGACCTTGCAGTCATGTCAGCTCTTATTACACTTTCTGTTCATGTTTTTATTAGAAAGAGAGCGAGGGGAGGGATAACTCTCTATACAAGAGGCAGCCTAGAAAAAGAATTGTCGTGGAAAGCTCTGCCAACAGTGTTTTCCATCTCTAGGAGTCACTTTTCTCTATGGCCCGCCACCCACTTGTGCATTGGTCTATGCGATATCCAATAGGTGTAGGTGACTAGAAAGTCTGGCTGCCATATTCTGGGAAAGAGAACTCTCCTAGAATGTCTACGGCACAGCCCTACTATGATCCCTGTCCTGTATTGTCCATAGTCCACCTTGCTTCCTTCAGCATCATGAAGCCTTCAAAACCTATAACTCACTTCCTTCTCTTTTTTTTGAATGTCTGTTTATTTATTTTGAGAGAGAGAGAGAGCATGCACAAGCAAGTGGGAGAGGGGCAGAGAGAGAGAATCCCAAGCAGGCTCTGCACTGTCAGTGCAGAGACCCACGCAGGGCTCAATCTCACGAACTGTGAGATCGTGATCTGAGCCGAAATCAAGAGTCGGATGCTCAACGAACTGAGCCAACCAGGCACCCCATAACTCACTACCTCCTTAAATATAATAATTACCCTCTTGTACAAATTCCAAATTTTAAATATCACTTTTAAGGTATTGACATCTGTGATAATTTGCTTACGTTTACTTTACAAGCAGAATTAAATGTATACCATAGCATTATCAACATAGTTCTCAGACTATGGATGCTGGAGAGGATGTGGAGAAACGGGAACCCTCTTGCACTGTTGGTGGGAATGCAAATTGGTGCAGCCGCTCTGGAAAGCAGTGTGGAGGTTCCTCAGAAAATTAAAAATAGACCTACCCTATGACCCAGCAATAGCACTGCTAGGAATTTATCCAAGGGATACAGGAGTACTGATGCATAGGGGCACTTGTACCCCAATGTTCATAGCAGCACTCTCAACAATAGCCAAATTATGGAAAGAACCTAAATGTCCATCAACTGATGAATGGATAAAGAAATTGTGGTTTATATACACAATGGAATACTACGGGGCAATGAGAAAAAATGAAATATGGCCTTTTGTAGCAACGTGG